ATGATATCATTTATGCTATGATGAAATGTATGTGGGTTTCCTTATTAGTTTCATTGTCCAACTATTTCAAATATGATGTTCAAAAATGGCATATAGCGTGATTTCAAATGAAATGTCCCCTTTTATGCATGTTTTAATGATTTTTATGCTTGGCTTCCATACTTAGTACTTTTTGTGCTAACCCCATCTTTCTACATTTTCTATAAGTTTAGGCTTTGGAGATATTGGATTCCATCCTCGCGGCTAGGACTCTAGTAGATCAAGAAGAAGAAGCTTGGTGATTCCTCATTGTATTCGAGGGCACAACCATTTTTCCCATATGTCTTTTTTCATGTTTTAGACTTATGTAAGGGCTTTGTCCTTAAGATTGTATCTCAAGAGTCATAATCCAAGTGTTATAGATGGTTTGAGACATAGTGTTATAGATTCTCTTTCATTTTATAAGAGACTTTGATTGTAAAGAAAAGTTTTAAATTCCGTACTATTTTCCTATGCTTTTATCTTCATATATGCTATGAGGCTTGTATGAGACCCCTTCGGGGTCAAGTACGCTATGTTACTTCTAGGGGGTAACCCCGGGTCATGAAAGTGAAAGTTCTCTCTATTTTGTAAACACCAAGAGAAAAGATCCTGCAGGAATGGTGGCTCCACAAAATCTAGAAAAAAGTCAATCTATCACACTTCTCTTCGTTTCAAAGGCCAGTACTTCGGGTGGTGGAATACCAGAATGCCCGATTACATCATGGCCGAAGATACTGAGTTGTGTGATGTAATACTTGATGGTAGTTACTTCCCCACCAAGGACGTGAGGGATTGAGATCTAATTGAGTGACCCCCAAGTCTAGAAGAAAGTATGATGAAGCAGATAAGAAAAAAATCCAAAAAAATACAAAGCAAATAAGTTGTTGGTCTGTGGAATCGGTGAAGATGAATATAACAGGATTTCTGCATGTGAGACTGCCAAGGAAATATGTGAGTGCTTAAAGACAACCCATGAAGGAACAACTCAGGTCAAGGAGTCAAAGGTGGACATGTTGACAACTTAATATGAAAATTTCAGCAAGAAGGAGGGTGAAACTATCCATGAGAAACACTTCAGATTTACCTCTATTACTAATGAACTTAGGTGTCTTGGTGAGCCCATTCATCCAAGCAATCATGTTCAAAAAATAAGTTGATGCCATAGGTCTGAAGATTCTCACAGTGGATGAGCTGATCGGAAACTTGGAGACTCATCAGTTAAATAAGCTGTAAGATTCATCCAAGAGGTAAGGAAAGAAGGAAAAGTTAGTAGCACTAAAGGTATCTCAAAATAATGCCCCCAAAGATTAAGATGAGATGTCTTATTTGACTAAAAGGTTTCAAAAAATAGTCTAAAACATGAAAGGTTTCAAAAGAAGGGAAACTCCATCAGAGCAACAAAAATAAATTACCTATGTCATAAGTACAGAAAGCTAGGGCACTTTATGAGAGACTGTAAGAGCCACAACCTTGAATTTCAAGACTACAAATAAAAGCGAAGGGACAGAGATTGTCAGACCCACAAGCTTGAATTTCAAGACTACAAATAAAGACAAAAGGACCAAGTGCCTAGCAATGCTACGATAAAGGCTAATGTTGATCAAGTGGTAAAGAAGGCCTTTGAAGTGTGGGGAAAACGCCTCTAGTTATTCTGAAGAGGTAGAACATGATATACCGTGAGTTTACGGTATTACTAATACATTTCACTTACAAGTTGTGTGTGTCTAGGACCTTTTTGTATTGGTTTTTATGTATTTTTATCATATTTTGTAGGAAAGATGTTCAGGTGCGGAAGTATAGAGACAACTGAAAGAAATACAAAAAAAAGGCATTCACGGAGGTGATCTACGGACCGTAGGTTCATTGATGGTCCGTAGGTGATGACTGTAGATCAACAGGCAAGATATGGAAGACAAATCAGGGAAACCTTACCAAGTGTGGAACCACGATGGCCTTTGACGGTCCGTAGATTGATCTACGGACCGTACTGTTGATTCGTAGATTGATACGACGAGGGTTCCTGTACCTGATTTTTGAAGATTCCAAGTGTGGAGCTACAGAGGGGATTGACAGACCGTAGATCGATCTACGGTCCGTACTGCAGGTCCGTCGTTTGCTTCAGAGAAGCTGAATTTTGGAAGCCGAAATATTTTCTAAGTCCTGGCTGACGGAAGGGACTTACGGACCGTAGATCCACTGAAGGTTCGTAAGTCAGTCTCGTGGAATGAAGACACGTGCCTGAACAAACTTTCCTTAATTTGTTTACCTTTTAATTTATGATTTATTTTCTATAAATAGGGCATGTAAATGCCCTTTTTAGGGGTTAGACATTATTATTCTAGCTTTACTTTGTGACTTGTGAGATTAATTCGAAAATCTAGCAATTATTGATTTCGTAGGTTCGTTTTGAAGATTTTGGCTTTGCAATTCAAGTTGAATTTTTGGGTTTATTATTCTCTTTATGTAAATTCATGATTTCTTCATCTAAAACTATGAATTGTGTTCTTGCTAATATGGGTAACTAAATCCACAATTAGGGTTGTGGGAACCATGAGAAATTAACAAAGTATTAATAGTAAATAAGCAAATCTTGAATAGTGTTTTGCATGCATTGATAATTCTTTCATTTAGAAGTCTTTTTAACGGTGGCCAACATTAGAACTTCCCTTGTTACTACTTGCCGGACCAAGGAGGTAGTTAATGAGAAAAGAATTATCAACATAGATTTAGTGTGATACTATCTAATAGGCTAGTGTCGATTGGTGCGAAGTAATAACTAAGTCAAACATCGATTATGATGTTTAATATGAAGTAGATGTAAGGGTTAGTAAATTATACACACATAGCCGGACCAACGATTTAGAGATACCTAACTTATGACTTTGCATGTAATACACTAGGAAATGATTACTATTACTAGGATTTCTGCATTAAGAGCTTGTGGGGAACACGTATACCCTAGTTATTTCTCTCATTTTGATAACAACCAAAATTGAATTTTGATTACTGATTACTTATTAAATTCTTACTTTTTGTTTCACACAAACAAAACCCCCCTTTTTAATTACCTATTTCTGGAAGTAATTTGACTAATTGAATATAATTGTTGGTTAAAGTAAAGTCTAAACCATTTTCCTTGTGGGATCAACCCCAACCTACAAGTTGAGTTCTTTACTTGATAACGATCGCTTATACTACTGTAGGGAGGTGTAATTTGAGTGTATCAAATTTTGGCGCCGCTGCCGAGAATTTGGCTTTTAGATTTATTTTAACTACATTATTGAACGTTAGTCAAATATTTCTTAATTTTACCTTTTCTCTTTGTTTTTGTCTCACTCAGGTTCTGACTCCAGTGTATGCCAAGTACACGGAGCCAAGGAGAACCACTTACTCCTTACGATACGAAGTTGAACCACACTTTGCGAAGAATGAGCAATCCAAGAGATCCAATTGATCCTATCGGAGGAAATCTAGGTGATATAGTTTAGTTACAACAACAGAGGGTAGTTGGTGAGGACAACCAGGTTCCAGCTGAAAATCGATTGGGAGATGCATTGAGGATGCAAGATCCACTAGGTCCACGACATCACGACAACTATCGAGGCAACATCAATATAACAGACTTTGATGGACCTATTGTCCTACCCCCTCTACCTCCAGGGCACACATTTGTGGTGACTAGTAGTTTGATAAAGATGCTTATAGCAAGAGCCTTATTCTCAGGATCACTATCGGAGGATCCACATGCTCACTTGGCCAAGCTAAGGGTGGTTTGCAAAAGTTGTGTAGTTAGACCAAACTTGGATATGGATGTCATTGGATTACGAATGTTTCCTCTGTCACTGACAGGCGATGCTGCAGTATGGTTCACTGAGCTTCCTTATAACTCAATATTTACATGGGACCAACTGGCAGAGGTGTTTCGAGCGAAGTACTATCCAGTGTCCAAGAAGCTCAATCACAAAGATCGGGTCAACAATTTTATAGCATTACCTGGAGGATCTGTGAGTAACTCTTGGGACAGATTCACTGCATTCGAAAGAGGTGTTCCAAATCACCGTATTGATGATGAGTCGCTGAAGGAATATTTCTATCGAGGACAGGATGATAACAATAAAGCAGTACTTAACACTATTGCTGGAGGTTCGTATGGTGATTGTACATATGCACAGATTGCTGAGAAACTGGAGAGGATCTCTCGCAACAATAAAGCATAGAGCACTAGGAGGTCAAATACTGGGAGAAACACATTTATCGCTCATAACACAAATATCAATTCTGCAGATGATATTCGTGAGGAGATGACCCAGATGAGGACCGAGTTGGGGTTGGTATTGAAGCATGTGATAGGAGGAGCAGAAAAGGTAAATGTTGTGAACTACTTAACTAGAACTCCACCACTAGTTGAAGAATGTTACTTTGAAGAGGATGCTTATGCTGTGAATGATCAGACGGGGGGTTTCCAACCAAATGCCCAAGAATCCAACACGGAAAACTGGTGCCAAGGTCAAGGGAACCAAGGTTAGAACTATGGAAATTACAACCGAGAGGGTCACTATGTCTGAGATGGGAACTTCAATCGTAACAACAACTACAACAGGAACAACTATGGCAACAGAAACGATCGGGTTGGACCTTATGTTCCCCCTCAAAATTGGGAATCTGGTGCTAGGGAAGCTGGAGGCAATATTGCGCGTATTGAAGATATGATGCAGAAGATGATGAGAAGGTTTGATGCAACTAATGAAAATGTGAAGGAGATGAGAAATGACTTGTCTAGTATTGGTCAAAAGGTTGATGCCCATGCAGTGTCAATAAAGCACCTAGAGCAGCAGATTACCCAGTTGTCTACTACAGTGAACCCATGTCAACCTGGTACTCTTCCTAGCAACACCATTCAGAATCCAAAGAATGACGGTCATTGTATGGCAGTTACTACTCGAGGGGGTAAGCAAACCATAGATCCACCTAGGCCATCTATGGTGGAAGTTGAGATTAGAAAAGAAGATGATGTGATAGAGGTTAAAGAAGAGTCTGAGAATACGACAGAGAAAGAAGCGAAGATATCTCAGAAAGTGGTCCTCATACCTAGACATCCACCACTTTTTTCACAGAGGTTAATGAAGAAGACTGAAGATGGTAAATATCGCAGGTTTGTTACTATGTTGAAGCAGCTTTCTATCAATGTTCCTCTGATAAAAGCCTTGGAGCAAATGCCTGGATATGCGAAGTTTATGAAAGATTGGTGACAAAGAGAAGGTCTGTGAGTTTTGAAAATGATGATAGATTGCAGCATTGTAGCGCTATTGCTACAAGATCTCTTGTGCAGAAGAAGAAAGACCTTGGTGGTTTCAGGATCCCATGTACTATACGGTTGTAACACTCTGCTAAGGCACTATGTGATCTTGGTGCTAGCATCAACCTCATGCCCTTGTCTATTTACAAGAAGTTGGGTCTAGGGGACCCAAAGCCCACTGCATTGCGGTTACTAATGGCTGATCGAACTGTGAAGAGGCCCATTGGTGTACTCCATGATGTGCTAGTGAAAGTGGAGTCGTTCATTTTCTCGGCAGATTTTGTGATTCTTGACTGTGAGTTGATTTTGAGGTTCCCATCATCCTTGGGAGACCATTTCTTGCCACAGTGCGTGCGTTGGTTGATATGGAAAAGGGACAGATGAAGTTCAGACTGAATAATGAAGAAGCAACTTTCAATATTTGTAGGTCCATGAAGCAGAGTGGTGAGCTCCAAACAGTATCTGCTATAACTTACAAAGTGGAGAGTAGAACATAAGTGCAAATTGAAGAGCGACTAGGTATTGAGGCACTAGCAACATTTATGATGAATTTCGATAGTGATGGCATTGAAGAGTATGATGAATTGGTAGCCGCACTCGATAGGTGTGAATACCGGCCCAAACCAAAGAAGTATGAATTAGACATGAAGAATCGCGAGTCCCCACCCACAAGACCATCTATTGTGGAGGCACCGAAATTGGAGCTTAAGGCTTTACCACCGCATTTGAGGTATGTATACTTAGGCAAAGAGAATACTTTGCCGGTCATCATTGCGACAGATTTGAATGCGAGACCAGTAGAGTGCTTCGTGACTGTGTTAAAAAGGTTCAAGCGAGCTATTGGGTAGACTATTGAGGATATTATTGGGATTCCTCCCTGTATTTGCTCTCACAAAATCCAACTCATGCCAGATCATAAGCCCAGTATCGAGCACCAGAGAAGATTAAATCCACCTATGCAAGAGGTAGTTAAAAATGAGATCATCAAGTGGCTGGATGCGGGAGTTATTTACCCCATTGCAGATAGTAGTTGGGTATGTCCTGTGTAGTGTGTGCCTAAAAAAGGTGGTATGATTGTGGTTCCAAATGAAAGAAATGAACTTGTTCCAATGAGGCCTGTTACGAGATGGAGAGTTTGTATGGATTACCGGAAGTTGAATGCATGGACAGAAAAGGACAATTTTCCTATGCCATTCATGGACTAGATGTTGGATAGACTTGTAGGAAAGGTTGGTATTGTTTTCTTGATGGGTATTCGGGCTACAATCAAGTTTCTATAGCTCCAGAAGACCAAGAGAAGACCACCTTCACTTGCCCATATGGGACTTTTGCTTTCAAACGGATGCCATTTGGGTTGTGCAATGCTCCAGTAACCTTCCAGCGGTGTATGATGTCGATATTTTTTGATATGGTGGAGGACACTATTGAAGTGTTCATGGATGATTTTTTAGTTGCAGGTGACTCTTTCGATCGTTGCCTAGATCATTTGGCTTAGGTGCTTAAAAGGTGTGAAGACTACAACTTGGTGCTTAATTGGGAGAAATGTCATTTCATGGTTAAAGAAGGTATAGTGTTGGGCCATCGAATTTTAGAGAAAGGTATTGAGGTTGATAGAGCTAAAGTTGAGGTAATAGAAAAGCTTCCACCACCCATTTCATAAAATGTGTTAGAAGTTTTCTTGGGCATGCAGGTTTTTATAAGAGATTTATCAAAGATTTCTCAGAACTTGCACATCCGTTGTGCAAACTGCTCGAGCAGGAGTGTAGGTTCGATTTTGATGATGCTTTTCTTAGAGCATTTGGAGAGTTGAAGGAGAAGTTGGTTACTGCACCTAACATTATTTCACTGGATTGGGGACAACCGTTTGAGATAATGTGCGATGCGAGTGGAGTGGCGCTTGGTGTAGCATTGGGTCAAAGGCGAGAGAAAATTCTTCACCCTATTTACTGTGCTAGCAAAGCTCTAATGTGGCCCAGAAGAATTATATTGTAACCGAACAAGAACTTCTTGCGGTGGTTTTTGAATTCTAGAAATTTCGATCCTACTTACTTGGTACTAAGGTCATAGTGCATAATGATCATTCGGCATTGAGGTATTTGATGGCGAAAAAGGATGCAAAAGCAAGATTGATTAGATGGGTATTGTCGCTGCAAGAGTTTGATTTTGTAGTAAACGATAGAAAGGGGACCGAAAATCAAGTTGCCGATCACTTGTCCAGATTAGAAGAAGAGGCTATGCTAAAGCTTGGAGATAGGGCTGAAATTAATGATGCTTTTCTAGATGAACAGATATTTGCTGCCTCTCATGGTTTGATTCCTTGGTTTGCAGACTTTACTAATTATTTGGAAATTGATATTGTCTCTCCCGATTTGTCTTTTCATCAAAGGAAAAAGTATATGCATGATGTGAAGAAATTCTCTTGCGATGAACCTTATTTATATCGTAGTTGTGCTGATGGGATTATTCATCGCTGTGTGCCCGAGGTTGAGATGTTGAGTGTACTTGAAGCATGCCATTCATCACCCATTGGTGGGCATCATAGTAGTATTCGGACTGCACATAAGATTTTGCAGTGTGGATACTACTGGCCTACCATCCACCAAGACGCTCATGATTTGCCAAGTCTTCTGATCGTTGCCAAAGAGAAGGAGGGATTTCAAAGAGGCAAGAGCTCCCTATGACTCCTATATTGGTGATAGAGTTGTTTGATGTATGGGGCATTGATTTTATGGGTCCAAATTATGAGTTCATATGTGATGAAGTATATTCTTGTTGCAGTTGATTATGTATCGAAGTGGGTGGAAGCAATTGCGCTCTCCAACAATGAAGGTAAAAGTGTCACCGCATTCTTGAAAAAGAATATCTTCTCCAGATTTGGTACACCAAGGGCTATTATTAGCAATGGAGGTTCTCACTATTGTAATAAGTTGTTCAAGGCACTACTTGAGAAATATGGTGTCTGTCACAATGTAGTCACTCCTTACCATCCACAGACTAGTGGTCAAGTTGAAGTATCCAACAGAGAGATCAAACAAATATTGGCGAAGACTGTGAATGCTAATAGAACGGATTGGTCAAGGAAGCTTGATGATGCTCTATGGGCATATCGCACTACAAAGAAGACCCCCATAGGTATGTCTCCTTACCAACTTGTATATGAGAAATCTTGTCATTTACCAGTAGAGCTAGAGCATAAGGCGATGTGGGCAATGAAGAAGTTAAATTTGGATTGGGGCGCCGCATCTAATCAAAGAATGAATGACTTGAATATGCTTGATGAGTTTCGCCTAAAATCTTATGAAAGTTCAGCCTTGTACAAAGAAAAGAAGAAGAGGTATCATGATCAAAGAATTGAAAAACGAGAATTTGTGGTTGGTGATCTTGTGCTTCTATTCAACTCTAGGTTGCGCTTGTTTCCAGACAAACTTAAGTCCAAATGGACAGGGACATTTTTGCTCACAAAAGTGCTCCCCCATGGAGTGGTTGAGCTTGCAAATAGTGATGGGACAAAGTTCATGGTAAATGGGCAAAGGATCAAGGTCTATGTGGGAAATGCTGAGAGCGTGCAAGAAGGGGTTGAGGCCTATCATCTTGATGAAGTCTAAGTAATCAAGAGGCCTGTGTCGTTCCGCGATGTTAAATCAAGCGTTGATTGGTAGGCAACCCAAGATGTACAATCTAGCCAACGACAGGATATAGTTTTTCTCTAGTAGTTTGCTTTGTTTAATTTCATCCCCGTATCAAATTAGATAGTTGTTTCAGTTTTGTACTAGTGTTGGCTAAAATTAGCATAGGGTCCGTGTCTAAAAAGTGTCCAGAAAATATGAAAAGAATAGCCTAATGTTTTCTACATATGCAGGTACGCCATGAAAATTCTACAGAAAATGGTCTAGTGCAGAGGTCTACGGACCCCATCGACGGTCCGTCGATTCATCAACGGACCGTAAATGGTGCCCGTAGATCCCAGGTAAGCCTCAATTTTTTTAAGTGTAAGAGTTATCTACGGTCCTGTTCTACGAACCGTAGATCGACTCACGGACCATAGACGGGGTCTCGTGAGTCCAAACCCTAAGGCTGTCTGACCCGACCCAAACCCTCCTATTTAAAAAGCCCCAGGTTTTAAACCATCCCACTTCCCTCCATTACTCGCAAAACCATTTCAACCATCCCATAACCTCCTTAAATCACTTCATAACTCCCCCATAATATCATCCCTTCCATAATTCCCCAATTCCTTTCCATTTCAAATACAACTCATTTCATATTCCACAAAAAGGGTCCGATGTTTGGTTAGTAACGAAAAGTTGATTCCTTGGTCTTGCTAAGCTTAGTGTCGTCACGCAATCACCCCACTCCTGTTGCTTGTATCGTAATAGACTTTCCCCTCACTGTGAATTTTGATTCATAGATTGAATATAGAAAGACGGGAGTTGGGTCTTGATCTTGGGTAATTGTTAGATGAAATTGCATGATAAAGTTGAAAATTACAATGCCCTTGGAACGATAGATAGTGATTGTGTAGCTTTATTGTATGTGCTTATAAGTCTAAATGTAAGTTTCGACTTAGGGTTCCACTAGTTGTCTTAACTATTTGGGTAAAATGATTATTCGGAATCCTAAGAATGAAGAACTAGCATAATTGAATGTTGAAATACACGATTAGACTTTGATAATGTTGAAAATAAGGCCAAAAATGTATGATCAGAAGTAAAGACTGGCTGAACCCTGGCACAGATGGCATCCACGATACCCCGCCTACGGAACGTAGATCCATCTACGGACCGTAGATAAGATTTGTGACTAGATGTACATGAAAAATTTCACCAAGTGTGAGACCACGGATGTGGACACAGACACAGACACGGATCCAGCATATGTTCCTCTCAACACTAGGACTTCTCCCACTGCACCTCGAGTCACCAGAGGCACCACCCGGAAGGTGCTTGCCGACGTAGTCACTGTCTCCCAGTCTGATGAGGAGCACACACTGATCAGATCACCAACTGGGGCTGCTTCCAGGTCAGAGGGGTCTATGTCCGGATCCAAGTCTGTTCATGATTCGAGCTCCGAGTCTGCCCATTCTTCAAGATCCGAGTTTGCCCATGCTGCAGGGTCCAGTGCTAAATCATCCACAGGGTCCGGTGAGAATGACCAAGCAGACTCATCTGATGAGGCCACTAGCTCGGAGTCCATACCTGAACCACGGAATGATGACTCCACTACAGTAGCCGATGAGCTAAATAGGTGGTGTGTAGAAGGCCAATGGCAAAATTATCGGAATGCCAAGATGATGAACGACAAACAGAAAATGGCCCGACTAATTACAGAGGAGCACAGAGTCCTCATGGGGAGCTTACACGCAGTTCCGGACATTCACTGGCTGTTCAACCTTCACAAGTGTGACTAGATGGTTTGAGACCCAGGGACGTTAAGCGAGGAGATTGTGCGGGAATTCTACGCCTCCTATGCTGCCACTATCAGAGGTTCAATTTCTAAGCGGTCAAAGCCCCTAGCTCAAGATTCTCTCACATCCACTTTGGTTTGAGGTTGTCTGGTGGACATATCACTTGCCACGATCAGCCGTTTTCTCTATAGTCCTACCATGGGTCACTCTTAGTCTCTCAACATAGCAGAGTTTGATTACAGATGGGTAATCGTGCGGAGTGGCGCTTTCTAGAGGAACGCTGAGCAGTAAGAGGCTGTTCTACTATGGTTGGCCAGGTACATTACTGCAGATGGCGAGCATGTGGAATGGTTCACCGCTCCACGGTTTGGCATCCGAAAGGGCACATTAAATTTTTTGGCCAAGTTCGTTCGGCTGCCTGTACGGAACAGAGTGTCACCTACAAAAGCTGACAAACAGGTCACGTGGGACAAAGCGGTCATGGTTGCGGCATTAGTAGCAGGAGTGGAGATTGACTTTGCCCGCATGCTACTGCCAGAGATTCACGAGAGGGCATTCAAGACCTTCACTACTTACCCATTCCCATGTCTAATTTTTCAAATGTGCAGGGACTCTGGAGTGCCGATCTGGCATTGTGACAAGTTAGTCCACCCTACAGGGGCATTGGACATAGGCCTCATTCGAGATGAGGCAAATGTGGTAGCACCTCGCAGAGAACCTCAGGTTGAGGTACCTCCCTTGGGTGTCGATCTTGCAGACACAGTGGGGCAAGCACAGGGCGGTGACCCATCATCCCAGATCACACCGATACTGTCCCGGGCTCCTCATCTCAAGCAGCTAGTATGGCTCCTAGCTCTTCCCGATCCACACAACAATTAGGAGATACTATTGTCCCATTGGCCAAAGTATAGAAATTAGAGGCTCAGATGGCCACACTGCTGCATCACATCCAGCCGTGGATGCAAAAGTCGATAGCTGAGTCTAAGGCTAGAATGGAGCGCAGGATGGAGGGGATGATTGATCGGAAGGTCCAGGCTGTTAATAAGCGTCTTGATGCCTTTGAATTGCGAGTCCTCGAGCGATCAACCCCAGCCATAGACCTATCTGTTTTGCAGGCCTACATAGCCATCCTCCGGACCGACGTTGATGCCATTCTTGCCGCCCTTTCAGTTGAGCCTTAGGTTGCACCTACTGCACTGGCTGATGATACAATGTTGGATGCTCTATTCAGTGGGACTGCCGAGGAGGGGCTTGCGCCTACACATGCCAAAGGCAAGCGGCACCGTTCTCATCGCACTGAGGAGGAGAGATCTCAAAAGAGAAAGTGTAGGCAGGAGAAGAGGGCAAGGAGGGCTTCGATTTTAGACGAAGAGTTGCGCCAGCAAAGGGTGCATGAGAGAGTTGCAGGGGCATCGAGCTCTGCCCTAGTTGTAAGGTCCAGCCTGTTTTGGGGGACGTTGTGAGCACCACTGATGGTGCCGGTGAGATTGATAGAGAGCACTACTGAGGGTGCTATGATTGCTGAGGTGGGCACTACTGAGGGTGCCCTCACTATTGTTCCAGCAGGCTCCGGGAAACTGGACCCCCTGCTTGTTGATGATTCGCCGGCGCTTTCGCCACAGGCTTGCTTCACCTAATCCATTTTCTTTTACTTTTTTTTTGTATGCATTGGGGACAATCACATCTATTTTTGTTGGGGGTGGGGTAAATGTATTGTGATTGATAGGATGAAGCTTGAATAACCCCAACTCATAAATTCTCTCTTGGGGTTTTCTTGCCTGTGTTCTTTTCCCCAAGAGACTGTTTAATTTTTTTGTTGAACCGGCATGTCTTAGGATCGTATGTGTAGAAGCA